ATATACTACTGTATAATATACTACATATTTTTTGGAAGTTTTGGAGTTAAAAATAGCTTGATTAACAAACTGAAAAAATTAAGTGGGAAGAAAACCACTAGGTAGATATTATCATAAATGATAATAATCCATTTGATGCCAAGCTAAAGAGCTTTTTCAGTTTTTTTAGTGTGACTGTTGAACTAATTTTACATCCCACTCAAGTTTTGAGAGAAAAATTATATTCTTTATCATTTTGTAGTTACACAAAATGTGTGTACTTACACATTTGTTTCTGGTCTCAGCCAGCTGTCCGAGTTCGGACTCTCCGGCCTCTTGGGGAAGACGGGAGTTACCTTCCATCTCCAAGCAAGGAGGCCACCATCAAGCTGGAGGAGAGCTGGGGAGATGGAGGAGTGGAAGACGAGGGATACAGCAGACAAGAAGACCAGGAAGTATTCACCAAAGAGGGCTGGACTGACAGAGCTTTGAGAACTGGAGATGCTCCAAAGCCCAAAAGAAGCAAGATGAAGAGAAGAGGAAGAGTGATCAAGCCCTGCGTAGTGAGAGGAGGGGAAGCCTAGGAATTGATTATTTAAGAACATAAGAGATGCCAATGTTGGATCAGGCCAAAGGCCCATCCAGTCCAACACTCTGTATCACACAGTGGCCAGAAATACCAGTGCCATCAGGAGGTCCACCAGTGGGGCCAGGACAGTAGAAGCCCTCCCACTGTTGACCCCCCCCAAGCACCAAGAAGACAGAGCATCACTTGCCCCAGAGTCCCTATCTACCTTGTGGCTAATAGCCACTGATGGACCTCTGCTCCATATGCTTATCTAATTCCCTTTTGAAGCCGTCCATGCTTGTAGCCGCCACCACTTCCTGTGGCAGTGAATTCCAAGTGTTAATCACTCTTTGAGGAAAGGTTTTCAATACCCTTCCTAATAATCCCCGCATAGCATTGGCCTTTTTTATTGCAGTCACACACTGTCTCAACATTTTCAGTGAGTTATCTACTACAACTCCAAAATCTCTCTCTTGATCAGTCTCTGCCAATTCAGACCCCATCAATGTGTATTTATAGTTAGGATTTTTGGCTCCAATGTGCATCACCTTGCACTTGGCCACATTGAACCCCATTTGCCATGTTGACGCCCACTCGCCCATCCTTGACAGATCCCTTTGGAGTGCCTCACAATCCTCACTGGTTTTCACCACCCTGAACAACTTCGTATCATCCACAAATTTAGCCACTTCACTGCTTACTCCCAACTCCAAATCATTAACGAACAAGTTAAAAAGCAGTGGACCAAGTACTGATCCCTGCGGTACCCCACTGCTTACCACCCTCCACTGAGAAAACTGCCCATTTATACTCACTCTCTGTTTTCTATTAATTAGCCAGTTTTTGATCCATGAGCTTACTTAGGAGCCATTGATGAGGAACTTTATCAAAAGCTTTCTGGAAGTCAAGGTAAATAATATCTATTGGATCCCCCTTGTCCACATGTTTGTTCACCCCCTCAAAGAACATTAACAGGTTAGTGAGACAAGATCTTCCCTTACAGAAACCGTGCTGAGTCTGCCTCAATAGGTTTTGTTCATCCATGTGCCTACTAATTCTTTCCTTAATAATGGTTTCCACCAATTTACCCGGTATCGACGTCAGACTGACTGGCCTGTAATTTCCCGGATCTCCTCTGGAACCCTTTTTAAAGATGGGAGTGACATTAGCTACCTTCCAATCCTCAGGAATGGAGGCAGATTTTAAGGAAAGATTACATATCTTTGTCAGGAGATCTACAAGTTCACATTTGAGTTCTTTCAGAACTCTCGGATGTATGCCATCTGGGCCTGGTGATTTTTCAGTTTTTAAGTTGTCTATCAGTTTTAGGACCTCCTCTCTCATCACCTCAATCTGACTCAGGTCTTCCAACACCCCTCCTGAAATCAGTGGTTCTGGAGTGGGCAAGCACTTCTCATCTTCCACAGTGAAGACGGAGGCAAAAAATGCATTTAGCTTCTCAGCCATTTCCCTATCATCCTTCAGTACTCCTTTTACCCCTTGGTCATCCAAGGGCCCCACTGCCTCCCTGGCTGGTTTCCTGTTTCTAATGTATTTGAAGAAAGTTTTATTGTTGGTTTTTACGTTTTTTGCTATATGCTCCTCATATTCCCTTTTTGCCTGCCTGACCTCAGACTTGCATTTTATTTGCCATAGCCTGTGTTCCGTTTTATCAGCCTCACTGTGACTAGCTTTCCACTGCTTAAAGGAATTCTTTTTACTTTTTACAGCCTCCATTACTCTGTTTGTTAACCATGCAGGCTTTTTCCTATACCTGTTTGTGCCTTTCCTAACCTGCGGAATATATATTTTTTGAGCTTCTAGGATCGTAGTTTTAAATAGATCCCAAGCTTCCCCAATTGTTTTGACCCTTTCTACTTTTCCTTTCAGTTTCCTCCCCACGTGTCCCCTCATATCAGAGAAATTAGGAAATAGTTGTGAGATTCTCGAAGCGGCATGTGAGGGATGCAATCCTGAAAGCGGTTTCTGGAGCTCCTCTGAAAGTGGGAGAAAATGCTATCAGAACGCTGAAGGATATTCCATTTGAAGTCAGACAATGGAGAAAGAAATACAAGGAGTTGGTGCTTTTTCTTCAGACAAACTCAATTGGATATAAATGGTTGTTTCCAGAGGGAGTCACTTTCAAGATCAAAGATAAAAAAGAAAAGATTGACTCTTGTCAAAAAAGCTAAAGAATTCTTAAAAGATCAGCTGGGAAGATCAGAGGGCGAGCAAAGAGAAGAGGACAGCAAGTCTAGTGGCGAGCTGGACTCTGGTTCTTCCGGAGAGGACTCTCTGGATGAAAAGGGGGCAGCTGCCCCAAAGAGTCCTTATAAGTTAAGGAAGAGACGGGGAACAAAGAAGTAGAGGCTGAAGGACTCTGAATTGTGCCTTGGAAAATGATGAAAAGAAGACTGGGGGGAGGCGGCCCTTAGTTAGTGAAGGTGTAATAGCTTTAGAAAAAGAAGAAATACTATTAATGTTTGACTCAGTTCGTTTTTTATGCTTAAATGCAGGAAAAATTAATGTAACTAAGCTAATAAAGACCTCCTCTCTTGGATTTTTAGTTAGTGTGGGTATCTTTTCTTTATCCCGTATATGTAGTACCCCTCCCTATTTTTCTGTAGTAGTTTTTGTAGTTTGAGAAAATAATTTTAAAAAAACCCTCCGGGGCTTAAAAAAAATAAGCTATTTACAGAGGCACTCCTGGGGGATAGGTCCATCCCAGGATCCTAGCAGTCCATTGTTCTGTGTCTCTTATGTTCTTATGGCTACAAGCATGGACAGCTTCAAGAGGGAATTAGATAAGCATATGGAGCAGAAGTCCATCAGTGGCTATTAGCCACAAGATATAGATAGGAACTCTCGGGCTGGGGCAAGTGATGCACTGTATTCTTGGTGCTTGGGGGGGGGGGCAACAGTGGGAGGACTTATAGTGTCCTGGCCCCAGTGCTGGACCTCCTGATGGCACCTGGTATTTTTGGCCACTGTGTGACAGAGTGTTGGACTAGATGGGCCATTGGCCTGATCCAACATTGGCTTCTCTTATGTTCTTAAGCTGGGGCTGACAAGATTAGGCTCAGTACACAAGAGAGGTGTTTCTTGCTGTTTGCCAAAGGTTCGGAAAGGCTCCAGTGGACCCTGTTTTCATTCCTAAGGTGAATTCAGATTCCCACAGGTTTCAGGAAATAGTTTTACCAAGCATCTGCAGGAAAGGGAGTGGTACTACCTGGACAGTAAGAGGGCCCTGAGTTATTACATCAGTAGTACCAGCCAGTAGTACCCCGTGGTGGTAGTGGCGCACTCTGTAAGGGAGTCTGCTTACTTCAGCAGCCTATAGGGGCTTCTCTTCGCTGGAAATTGTGTGCTGGGCAGCCACTTAGAAATCAGTGCACACCTTTACTCAGCACTACCGTATTGATAGGGAGGCTTTAGCAGATGCCTCCTACGGGAGGAGAGTCTTCCAATAGATTCTGACAGAATAAGTAAAGGGCCCTCTCTGTGGTCTATTGCTCTTGTTCATCCCATGAGTGATTGCCCCACCCTGGACCACTGGGGATAGGAAGGTTGGTTCTTGTACCATGAAGTTCCCTTCTTAGTGGTCATAGAGTGGGACAGTCAGTCCCTTCCTGCTGTCAGAGTCCCAGTGGGAGAACCTTGGGGGACGGTCTTTCACGGTCTCTCCTGTTCTTTACAGTTCTTGACTGTTCTTTCTGTTTTCAGTTTAATTTTTGACTGTTGACATTTGTAAATTAATAGGTTTTAGTAGCACGGCTTCTAAACCAATCTGAGTGTGGTGGGAGTAGCCCCTCCCATTAGGAGTCAGTAAAAGATTAACTATCCTGCCTGCCTCAAGGGGGATTTTCAACCCAGGAGTGATGACTACCCCACTGAGAAGGGAACTTCATGATAAGTGAACCAACTTTCCTGTTTCATTTGTAGCTTCAAACAGTAACTGAACTCCTTGATTTGGATCTTTATATATATTATGCAATATATAGATACATACAGAGATTTGAATATGTAGCTCTTTTCTGTTCTGATGGTGTTATAGGCACAGTCCAGTTTAAGTGCTGTAAACATCAATAAAGCACAATTTATGAAACGAAGTCTGGGAGCAGAACTGTTCTCCACTATAACTCTGTATGAAGACGCCAGCATGTATCCAGCCATCGATGGACCATCCTCTCCTACAGCCCACTGAGCCCTCACTACAAAAATCTTGTTCTTGGATGGCAGCAGACTCTTAGGAACAGGATAGGGGCAAAGTAAGGGTCTGCTGGGCGAGGGGAACATCACAAATTACCACCCCCCTTCCACAATTAGAAATGTTGTTCCATAGAGGAACTGTGTGGTTGAATACATGCTGCTAATAACTCACTGTATTTACTTATTATGTGAATCTTTGAAGATATTTGTGAAATAAAAGATCTTATTAAACTTGATCTTGCAGGCAGTAAGTACAGTGGAGCAGAAGGTTGTTGTTATTCCAGAAGAAGAAAAAAGAGCTTTCACACGTTATTTCATTGATACTATGAAGTCTGAAGACAAAGTCATCATTTTTGTGGGAAAGAAACTTACGTATGTAGCTGAAATCTAACACAAACACTTGGCTTAATACACATTAGTTACCATTAAAGTATGGTACTGATAAATTGAGACTTGCTTAACTTTTAAGCCACATTTAAAATTAAAATACAGAATGCAATCAGAGGCATGCGGTAAAACATGTCTAAAGCCTCCTGGCTTCAAGCTGTGGTCCCAAGCCTTTTTTTTCTGAAGTAGCATCAGCCAGTCTCTTCCTCTTTGCTTTTCTTCTTTCCTCTCCTTACAGTAGTAGTTTGGAAGTCACTCTCATTCTTATCATAATTGGCCCTTCCTTTCTACTGCAGCATGCAGCCACAAGGGAGTCTTCCTCACCTGTAACCAGCAAAGAGAGTTCATACCTGGTTTAAGGGTACTAAAGGTTGAACCAGATGCTCAGAACAGTAGAATTGAGCTTCACTTACTCTGAAGTAAATGTCTTACTGTAGAATCCCATCTTGCTTTCCCTCAGATGTTCAAGTGTTAACCCACCCATTTTTATACGGGATGGATATGTTTGTTGCCAAGCATGTACATAAAAGGATCCAGAAATTATAGCATTACAGGACTTCTGTCAATTTAGCAGAGGCTACCTGTACACATAAATCAAGTACTTGTTCACATAATTGATATAAAGTATCAGAGAACAAACAAAACATGGCCCTTCATAGTCTTTACCATGCTGGGTAAGGAAACCGGTTTGCAGACCTTGTAAGCACATTGTGTCTAAAGTCATGGAGGCTCCCAGTAAGGGTGGGAGGAGATCACCAGAATCCCCATCCAGAGATGTTTATCTGGTGTTCTGAAAAGTGATCCCCCCCAGTCACTGTTAGCCATTCATCAAAAATCTTAGATATGCTGTCTTCTAAGTGACAGTTCCCTCCCTTCCTAGAAGTCAGTTTGAAGTGAATTCCAGAACCAGGATCACTTGTGAGCCAGGAAGCCTATAAAGTTTCTACAGGAAGTAGTAATTAAAGGGTGTGCAGGTGACTATCCTATCTGGCATGTTAGAGTGTACACGGACAAGTCCTCTCTGGTTTGTTCTGCACAATTTGGACAAAATAATGAGAGTTGTGACAGCCCAACACTGAAATTCAGGACCTTAATTTCCCTTAGGACATGGCTGCTTAAGTCAGTGTTACATCCATGGTATCTATTCATCACACTGGACTTTGCACCTGCTCAGAGCTAGGATTCAGAAATGTCTAGAACTAGTGTTTAGGCATGAAAAGCCTCAGAAATGCAGCCTTGGATTGTGCATGCCTAATATTTGTATTAAAATATTTCTATTCCACCTTTCCTTATGGCTCAAGGTAGTTTATGTCATAATTAAAACATTAACAATTCATAACCAATGGAATAAAAGTCCAGATCACTATGGCATGCACCACCATATTAAAAAGATGTAGGTCATATTGAGGGGAAATTCCTTCTTTGGATGGGTATGATCTTTGTTGTGCCTTGGGAAATTTCACAGGGGTGATTCATGCAGATACCACCAAATTGTTAACTAACTGTTACTGTAAGAAACCAACCATTTCTATGCAAGTTTTTAAATTTTTAATCAGTGCTGATGACCTATCCAGTGATTTTGGTCTTCAAGGAATCCCAGTTCAGTCTTTACATGGCAATAGAGAACAGTGTGATCGTGAACAAGCTTTGGAGGACTTCAGGAAAGGTACGCTTGCAATTGGTTGGAGTCAAATGCAACATAAAGCTTAGTACTAACCTAACTAATTGTAACATCTTTGCAGGGAGAATAGTTGGTTTCCCTCAAGTGTGAATAAAGTTAGGAAACTGAACTTTGATCAGTGCATATAGGATGCTGTTGGAAATGAGCAGGTTCAAAGGTGATGTTTCAAGCAGCATCTGGAATTGTCTGTCTTGTTTCAGCTAGTATTGAAATGCTTTGTAGAAGCATTAAGCTGTACAATTTGCTAGAAGGGCTCTGTATTCTTGGGGACCCTAAGTTGAATGGAAAAGGCAGCATAAAAATATTTCAAATACATAAAATAAACTATAGCAAAGTAAAGATTTTTTTATTTTTCTGAGTTACCATTTACTTCTCAATGTGTTCATTTTAGGTAGAGTTCGTATACTGGTAGCAACAGACTTAGCCTCTCGTGGGTTAGATGTGCAAGATATCACTCATGTGTTTAATTTTGATTTCCCTCGCAACATTGAAGAGTATGTTCATAGAGTAGGCCGTACTGGTCGAGCTGGGTAAGTTAAGTGTTTCATACTATATTGACTTGTAACTTGTAGAATGCTGCCATGTTATTGAGTTGAACACCAGTATTTTCCAGCACATGCTAGAATGTCAGCTTCTGAAGATGGATGTATCATATTGGTTTAGGTGTTACGCCAAACATGGTTTGGCACTACGTGACCAGTTGTGGTCAGATGTTCCCCTTTACTCATATGCTTAGAGTCACTTTTGAGGAGGAGGGAAGAGGAACTTTCAAAGAGAAGGTATTATGTGAGCACAAGGTTTGTTCATGTAACACTGAGTTGTGGTTTGGCATTATGTCTGAACCACTATATTGGATAGTGAATTAGAACAAATGCAAGGGGAGGCAAGTTTACATACAGTTATTTGGAATTGCCACCATTTTGTATTGCTAATTGTATTTTCTCCAGAATTTCAGACTTAATTCTCCTTGGGAAAGCTAGCACTTCATGCTAGGAATTTTTTATAGTGGCTCAGGGAACACAGGCCACTTTCCTCAGCACAATATGACAAGTCAAATCACTGAACTACTAATCTTGTGTTAACTGGGCCAATTAGTAGAGGCATCCAAGATAGTAAAAGTTGCTTTAGAGTATAATGCAAAAGTGTTTACTTGCATTCAGAGTATTCCCAGGGTCATGGTACCTTCATGGAGTTATAGTCACACAGGTCAATAGAATGAAGAGAGAAGGAGATGATATTGCCCTCTTGGGTCAGTGGAAACCTGTTGAGAGATACGGAAGAAGGAACAGTTTCACCCCCTTGTCCCTCCTCACTGACCCACATGACTACTATTTCACATAGGTCACTTCCCAGGAATCAGAAATAGTGACTGAGGGAGGCCAAAGTAGGGAATACTTGTGATCTTGCACAAACAGATCGCTGGAGCCAAATGTTCTTTCAAACAGTCCAGAAATATTTATTATCTCAACTACCTATCTTTTTATAGCCGCACAGGTGAAGCTGTAACTCTTGTAACTAGGAATGATTGGCGGATTGCATCTGAACTGATTGAAATTCTAGAAAGAGGAAACCAGGTAAGCTTACTTAATATATGTTCTAACTTTCTTCTTGTCCTTCCCCCAAAATTTTGGCTTCACAGAAAAGCAGCTGAATTTAAAAAGGCTTTAATAGTATTGCCTTTATATTCAATATGAATATTTGTTTGCTTGAAGGTAGTGATTATTTTTATGGTTTTGGGTATCAAGGCCGTTGTTTAATGAAATCTTAGTCTAATTGTGTATTGTGTATTTTAATTTATTACAGTTGCATACGAATAAGTAGTTTTTAAGGGGAAAAATACCATGGTTTAGTTGATGCATGTGTTACAGCAAGTAGAAGGATTACAGTATCCAGAGGATATTAAAAAACTACAAATACATTGTTGTGTATTTGTAGTTTTTTGTGTTACAGCAGGTGCCATCTTAGAAGTATTCTCTCCTGAGATGGGTAAAGGATATGTCCCTTCTGAGATTGGGTGCCTGCCAGATGCAGTTTCTATACATTCTTAAATTAAATGTTTAGAATGTATTTTGCTGGATTAATAATGGATACCTATTAATCCGAGTTACTGACACACGCTCCTATGCACACTTACCTTGAAGTAAAACTCAAGTAGAATTTAAAGAACATAATACCTAGAAAGTACAGATAATGTACAGAAAGTACAGAAATGAACCTTGAATTAGTAATTTTGAGAGAAAGCAATTGAAAGCACATAGTAGTACATATGGCTATTGTAATGAATGGCAGACTATTCCCACGTCCTCCTGGCCATTTAGTTAAGAAATCATTTCTTCTAAGTTTGTCACGTGCAACTCATGGCTACTTGTCCAGGGAATTCTATGGTGATATTCTCCAATTCAGTAGGCTGGATTGCAAATTTACATGGAGATTAGTCAGTGAGGCCCAAAAGGAAGATTGGATGAGAACAGCAGATGATAAAAAACTAAAATAACAAGAGAAGAAACAAAAGCAGAAAGGAGAAAAGGGCACAAGCCCTGCACACCTGAGCAACAGAAATGTTGTCATAACAGCATCAGCAGCAGTGTCTGATGGAGAAGATGCTGACCTTTTTATTCTTTTCTCCTTGCTTATGGGTAGCATCTTAATTGGGATTGCATTTTGCAGATGTTTGCCCAGTTTTATTCAATCATTTTTCTTGGAGACATTATAATTATTTTTAAAAAACAAACGCACAAATTATTCATAAAACAAAAATCAGATACATGAAGTCACTTAGCTCCTGACAATATTTGTTCAGCATTTGATTTCCATCCAGGACCGATGCAGCATTGGGGGAGGGGGATGGATTTGCTCTGCACACCACTGTTCTTCGCTGCTTTGAGTGGTTACGGCCACATCAGCAGAATGCTTCCAGGAATCTTCCGTGCTCAGAGCTGAACATTCAATAGGGCTATCTCAGACCTTTTCAAACACTTCTTCAGGATCCAAGAAGACCAGATTAACACAGTTATCTATTCAAAAGACATGTCCCTCAACTCAAAACTACCCAATATAGTTTATGAGCTGTATATGTCAAAGATGGGACTGGATTTTATCTTTATTCCACGATTAATGAAACCATCATCAGTATGTCCTACAAAAAAAAATCTGAATGCGAAAACCATTATTTCATAACAAAGTCACTAACTATACCTCTAGTTCCCAGATACATTATTCTGGAGAAGAGGCTCTATAAAAAATACTCATTGTATGTATATCTACAGAGGAGGAAAATAAAACCGTGTGTTCTGGTCATAGATAACTAGGTTTGTGATGAGTAGGAGACTGATAAGTGATAGTTTGGTGCCTTGCTTGTCTAGTGGCTTTTATATAGTTCTTAGTTCTCTGAACTATCCCGTGTAATCAGTGGTGGAGCAGTTTCCGTGAATATGCTTTGGGAGCATAGGGAAGGCTAAAGTGGCATTGGAGAGACCTAAGCTCTAGTATCATAGCTTATATATTGCTTACCTTTTACCCAACCAACAGGCAAGCTGGACATTTGGATGAGCAGTTAGGGAGAGAAAGAAAATGAGAGGATGTGGGGAGTGCATCCAGAGTGGAGAGAGGGAAAGTAGAAGCAAAACAAGAGGAGGCTGGCAAAGTAGATGGAATTTCTCCTTCCTACAAGTCCTCATGGGTCCCCCTCTTGTACTTTTAAGATTTATGATATAATTAACATAAACATAACAAAGTTTGAGTCCAGTGGTACCTTCAAGACCAACGGAGTTTTATTAGTGTAAGCTTTGTACTGCTTTGCACACGAAAACGTACAGTTCGAAGGTGCCAATGGACTCAGACTTTGTTCTGCTGCTTCAGGCCAACATGGTTACCCACCTGAATTTAACATAAACATAGTCAATGTAACCAGGGCTTCC